CCCCCCCCCCCCCGCCCCGCCCTCCGCCAACCATGCACTCAGTCTTCCAAGTGGGGATTGCATTACAGCTCCAATTACAGGCCACACTGGTCCAGTGGCAAAGGCTAGAGCTGGAACCTCTGACTCTAAAGGCAGGTGAAAGAGGTTAGGATCAGATAAACCATCCCTGGGGGCTGTTTCCGGCACTCACTGCCTGTCACTTTGCACGGGATCCAGGAGGGGTGTTGCCTCTTCCTTCCTTGAAGTTTCCTCTCTGACGCCCAGCCCAGACATGGTGGGTGGGGAGTGCGGGTGGGGCCGGTGGCTGGGTGAGTCCCTTTCAATATGGGTAAGATACAGCTTGGACTGCCCTGCCCCTCCCTGCTTCCCCCCGTGCAGGTGTGTGGGGCCCTTCGCTCCTATCTCAAGGGCTGCTCACGCCCAAGGAGCAGCTGGTGTGCTGGCGCTTGTCCACTGAAAGCCTGTCGGCCCTGGGCTGGCGTGTACAGACCTCCAAGTAGTGGCCGCTGCTGCGGGGGGGGGGGAGGAGGGTGTGGGCCTCCTCTGGAAGGCCCTCTGAGCTGCTGGGGAGGGACTTCAGGGGACCCCGAGGCTCCAGGAGATGATGGGTGTGGCCCAGGGGCTCAGTAAACGGAGAGGCAGAGGGAGGCCTGCACGTGTTGGTCTTTGTCTCTCTTCTGCTATTTGCACCCCTGGGTTTCAGAGCCCTGCTTCCTGTGTTGCTCACCATGGGGGATGGGGAGGCTCAGGGGACAGGCCAGGTAGTGATTCCTCTCCTCTGTTTGGCAGGAACTGAAAGTGAAAGGTCCCAAGGACTCGAAGGACAGCCACACATCAGTCACTATGGAAGGTACTTTGGAGAATGGCTTGGATAACAGTCACCTTCCTTTGTCTGGCTTTGTGGACTACGGTGCCCTGCTTGTGTGTGTGCGTGCGCGTGCGTGCATGTGTGTGTGTGAGTGCGCGCGTGCGTGTGTGTGCGCGCGTGTGTGCGCGTGTGCATGCCAGGAATCCAGCCTCTGTCCCCAGGCAGCTGGCCAGCTACAAACGTGCTCCTCCCTAGGATGCCAGCAGGCGGCTCACTCCCCCCCTCCTCCCCGCTCCACGCACGCAGCCCTCCCCTCCTCTCCCCTCCCCCTTGCTAGAGGAGCACTCAGAAGCGGCTGCTTGATTCTGGAGGCTGTGCAGCAGCAGCCGGGAAGGTGGCTGAGTGGCCGGGCCGCTGATGGGAGCTGGGGAGCCGGGAGCGATGGCCGCCCGCTCCTGCCGCGGGGACGGAGGCTGCCATGGAAATTCTCCTCATCATTCGCTTCTGCTGTAACTGCACCTATGGTAACCCAGGCCCCCTCTCCCGAGAGGTGGTGTGTCTTCCCACCTCGGGGGCTGGCTGGAGTGGGCTGAAATGTGGCCATCAAGGTTTGGGGGGCAGCAGGGCAGGGAGGGGGAAAAGTGGCTGGACCTATGTTAACCCCGTGCCGGCCAGCTTCCAGCCTGGAGTTGGAGTCTGGGGGCCGCTCGGGGCAGGGTGGCTTGGAAATGGGAGGACCAGGCGAGAAGGGTCCAGGTACCCCCAAGGATCTGTGGGGAGTTAGTGGCTCGGCTTGAGAGGCTGGGGGCAACTTCCTGGAGAGGCTGTTACGGAGAGAAAGTGACAAGGATGGGCTTGCAGGGGTGGCCACCCTGGGGCTGGAGAGGGGTCAGCAGGGGCCAATCGGAGAGTGCCAGATTGTCTGGATGGCAGTGCCTTGGAGCGGGAGGGCTGCCAGCCCCGGCTGGAGGGAGAAGTTGGGAGTCTCTTTGTTTCCTGAGAGGCCAGGGTATTGTGTGCCTGGAGTGCACACACCGCCTTCGCTCTCTCCTCTCTGAATGGCAGGGGAGCAGGAAGGAATTGGGTTGCTCCCAGGGGGTTCGTTTCTAGCCACTGGAGACCCTTGAGCTGAGGTCTTGGCCGAGAATGCTGGTGGGAGAGGGGGGCGTGGCCGGCTGCTGCTTTGTGAAGGTCACACACCCACCATACAATAGGGGGGACGGACAGAGCATCATCTTCGCAGCTCCCTCAGGGAGGAGGTCCTGGGCCAGGTGTGTGCAGTCAGCCAGGCTCTTGCTCAGAGGAGGCTGGCACAGATCTAGGCAAGGAAGTGTCCGGAAGCTAGTGGGCCCCGCCTTCCGAGGCCAGAGGTACCTTAGGGATGAGCCAGGCTGCCTCTGGCAGGGGCATAAGGCTCAAATGTTGCCCCAGGCCAGCTGCTCTGGGCTCCTGTGGCAGGCAGCTGGTTTCAGGACCTTCTCTCCCACCAGGCGTTTTGTCTGTGCACCCCTCTCAGTCACTTTGCTCTCATATCTCCGTGGTAACCCGGAGCTCCTTGTTGAAGGCTGAACAGAGGGGGGTGGCAGCATGCTGGAGGAGCGATGCTGAGGTTTCTCGGGCTCTTCCCGGAGGCCGCTGTGCACGATCAGCTGTCCCCTCACCTTCTCGGGCTGTCCTGCATTGAAGACTGCTCGTGATGGAGATAGCCCCTGAGGTCGCCCCTCTCCAGCTGTCCCAGCAGGACAGCTGTAGTCACAGGCAGAAGCTGACCTGGGTCCCCGCCCCTCGGCTGAGATTCTGACAGGCTTGAAACTGGCCTGGTCCTAGATCTGAGGGGAAAATGCCCTTTTTGGTCTGGCCTAGGAGTTGGTCAAGTCTCCAGTCAGTCTCCCTAAAGAGGAAACGGTCGGCCCTCTGCTTCCTCTTTCTTCCCCCCAAAAGAAGCTTAGTTTTAGTGAAACAGGCCTGGGACCTGGAGTTCAGGATTTCTTTGGTCCCTGCAGCAAAGTCAGCTTTAAAGTGAGGGGTCAGGAGTGAAGGAGCCCTTGCTGACCACGCTGTTTGAATCTTCTCAGCCCCTCCAAGGGGTGCTGGTTGTGGGGTATCAGGAAGGCTGTGCGACTTGGGGCTCACTCTGCAGTTGTCTGCCTTAGCGGTTGTGTGCCGAGCGCCCAGTCTGCAGGGCTCCAGGCCGCACGCAGTGGAGGTGCAAGGAAAGTCGCCTGTGACCCAGGCCCCTAAGAAGGGGGCTCACCTTGGCAACAAGAGAGGCCCGCTCATCCACTCCTTCCCGGTGAATCTTTCCCAGAATCCTCCCGAGGGCCACCGAGCTTTTGCAGGTGCTGCCTCCCCTACGGAAGGGGACGTCTCAAAGATAGGAGCACGGGTAGATTCAAAACCCAGCTGTCCCTTACAGCTTTGTGATTGTGAGCAAGTTACATAATTTCTCTGTGCTTTCGAGAAGTTTCTGCATCTGTAAAATGGGGCTAGTGATAATTGCTTCCCTCTTTAATTAAAGGAAATAACGCATGTAAAACAGTGCCATTGGACACAGAGTAAGTACTCAGCAAACTAGAGAGAGGCCAGCTCGCACATGTCATGGTTTGACTTTTAGGCGCTGTGAGTGTTGCTTGTGAAAATCCTGGTTGGGGAAGGCTTTCTGGAGGAGGGGGAGAGACAGGTATTGCAACTTGGTGAATGGTGTCTGTCCCAGAAACAGGAACCCCATGGTGAGGAGGGGCAAGAGTGGGTGAAACAGAGGCAGGAAGCAGGCCAGCCTGCTGGAGCCATGGAGCAGGTGAGGGGGGAAAGGTGGGCTCTTCACCCTGCATTCTCAGGGGAAGCATGTGTGCAGGTGCCGTGGAGAGCACGAACATCAGGGCCGCAGTGGTTCCTTCCATATCTGACTGTGGCCCCAGGGCCCTCACCTTGCACTTGCCTCTCCCCACCCTTCCTCCCACCTGCCCCTCCGCCACCTGGGGCTGATGCATTAGGACTCATTCCACGGCCACAGTCAAGTGGACTCTTGAGGTGACTATAGGCATATTAATAACCCGTCTGAAACCCAATCTACCATTTGTGCAGACCTCTGAGCTTAGTCAGAAACCTCTTCCTCCTGGGACCTGACAGAGGGGCAGAGGGAGCTGACACTGCAGTATCAGCTTTCCCTGGGCGGGAACTCGAGGGCCCACCCTGGCAGGTGTCTGCTGAGCTTGCACTTTCTCTGGGTCTCTGGGGTTCTCAGGGAGTGATTTTTTTCCCCCCTGCAGATGGACTGAGCCACAGGTGGGTACCCTAGACAGCCTCAGAACTGGCCCCCTCCTGGGCTGGTAACTGGGCTGTACCCTCACTGTCCCAGGATACCCCAAGCCTGGTCCTGTCCATTCTAGCTCCCATAGCCCACGGGGAGGGGCTTTAGAAATCGCTAAATTAAGAAAGGGCTGCAAATAAATCATGGGAGATGTGTTTGCATAAAGCAGTGGTTTTCAACCATTATGACATATCAGAATCAGCACAGGAGATTTTTAAAAATGGTGATGCCTGGGTTCTGCCCATCAGAGCCTGCTGTTTAGTTGATGGGAGAGGGGGAAACAGGCATCTGAATCTTTTAAGAGTTCCCTAGTGATTCTAATGGGCAGCCAGGCAAAGCCAACAGATGAGGCTCGGGGCACACCACTGAGACTGCATCTTCTCCGTAGCCAGCAGATTATTCCCCAAAGTGTCCATTTAGCAATGCGCAGGGTATTTATATCTAGGGCTTTGGGGAACTCTCTGGTTTGGGGGCTGGCTGGGACATGAATGTCAGCTCTGGGACCTGTCACGGCCTGGTCCCATGGGACACCCACTCCAGGGTCCTCCTCCCCAGACCAGCATCCTGCCTCTTACTGCTCCCACGGCAGGAGGACAAAGGTCATGACCTCATGGACAGAGGTGTCCAGGTGCAGGACCGGAGCTGAACCACCCAGGCTGCGAGGGGCAGGGCACAGCTGCTTGCAGGAGCTTTGTTTAGAAGTGTCAGTGGGCCAGCTGCCGCCGCCACCTGTCCCTGCTGAATCCCAGCAATCCTCATTTGGTGTCCTGGTCACCAAGGGGTGTGGCCAGTGCGGGCCCTGATGAGCTTGCATTTTCCCAGCCTCTTCAGGGGCTCTCATACTCGAAGCCCCACCTGAATTCCTTTAGGAAATCTTTGCCCCCCCAGCTGCCACTAGCTTGAGAGCAGAGCCTTTCTGTGGAGGTTGGGTATGCCTCCTTGGCCCTCAGCCAGGAGGGGGTTGAGGGCATGGAGAGGGGTCTTCCTCATGGAGATGAGGTCAACCGTGTGGGTCAGAACGAAGCATGCTGTTCCCAGCTGGTGGTGCCAGGCCTTGGACCAGAGGGATCTGAGAATGATGGGGCATGGGGACACCGCCCTCCCTGGAAAAATAGTGTCTCCTTCCTGCATTCTGGGGTCCCGGGTGTGACCCCCAGAGTCCTGGAGCTCTGCAGGGTAAGGCTGTGTGATTCATCGTGGAGGGTACAGAGGAATATCTGTGTCTGCTTTGAGCCTGGTCAGGCCAGGACGGGCCTGGGGGATGCACAGCCCTCGAAGAAATCACGTCTGGTGGGAGATGAGATGAGGAGGCAGGTGGGAGGGGACCCGGGCCACCAGAGCTGTGTGTCCCCCTTTTGGTGTTGTCTGGCCTGCCTGGGGTGAAAATGGAAGTGTGGGTTACCATGGAACCCACTTTGGCCTTCTGTAAGCGGGTGTCCATGCGAGGGAGGGAGGCGGGTGGGGGCATGAGGCTGCCCCCTAAGGTCTCAAGCTGCTCCCTGTATTTCATCTGACCTGTCTCCTTTCTCCCTGCCCCCAACAGCTCTGCTCTACAAGCCCATTGACCGAGTAACCAGGAGCACCCTTGTCCTACACGTGAGTGTGTACACCCCTGAATGGCCTGAGAGGGCTTAAGAGTTGGATGGGAGACTGAACTCAGGGTGGGCGGGCACTGGAGTCGCTGAGAACAGCCTATCTGGGGAGTTGGGCAGGGGGTCGCTGGGCCCTGACTGCACCTGCCTGGCCTGTGGTGACCATGCTGATGGGTCCAGGGCCTAAAAGTATCTTGGCTACTAAGCTTGATTTTGGGCCAAATGCTCCCCAGGAGGCAGGCACTTCCTGCCTCCCGATCCCTTGACTGATGGTCTCGAGTGTCCTTGGAGCAGCTGTGGGGTGAGTAGGGGGTTGTCTCTCCCAGCTGCTTGGTGACACAAGACTCCACCTGGCCTGTGCTGCCCAGGGGAAGAGTAATGACTGCAG